TAAGACTGCCCCCACCCACACAGACAGACAAGACACCAGAATATAGACTGACGAGAAACAGCACTCGTTACTAGCATTGATGATGTTACCTAGTTAGGGTAATGAAACGTCTGCAAGAAACAAGCGAGCTCAGGGAGCACCAAGGATCCCTCAGATGGGAAGTCTCAGTGGCAACACTATACCAGCGGATATCTATTAATACAGCACTTATAATTTAACTGTCCTCTTAACTGCGATATCACAGGAATGCTCAGATACCTCTCCCTGGCATGCAAATCTTCACAAGCCTAGTAAAAAAGGACTTGAACCCCATGATGCGATGCTGAATATGCTCCTGCTGAATCTTTCCAGAGCTCTGAGCCCACCAGCTTCTCCCTTATCGGAAGTATTGCGCTCACCAAGCCTATCAGAGCCATCCCTCCCTGCCATGCGGAAAGAATTTTATTGGCTTGGGAAGAAATGTCTTGCCTTGGAAAAAGCAGGAACTCCTTTTGGAATACCGTACCAGTGAATCTGGGTTGTAGTCTAAAGCTCAAAGAGTCTTTTTCCTCCATAAAAAGGAAGCATAATTTAGTTTAATAATACTACAGAATTGGCTGCATTAAAGGCGGGTGTTTGGCAATCTCCCAATCTCTTTGTTACTCTCTCCAGATGCACTGCCAATTTGGGAAAGCCTGATTACCAAAAACGAGTGAAACACGGAAAATTGTATTCTCAGTTCCCAGATAAGCTTAGCCAAGTTTTATCAAAAAGTGCCCACAAAGAAAAAGGAACCGTTTGCTTCTTCCCATACTGGGGGTGTGTGTGTGTGCTTGCTCATTTCATATCCTCAACCCACTCACCACAGCCTATGACCCAAGAGAAAAGCCACACTTAGTCTGGATGACCAGTCTTATTCAATGGGAAAAGCTACTCACTGCAGAACTCCTTCACGTTCTAAAGGCCCTTTCTCTCTTCATAACTGGCAGTCACGGGTTGTCATTCTGGCATAACTACGCACACTAGATTGACCAAGAGAAAAGCTCCTTTGTTCTTCAACCCCTAAAACCATTGATTCGTGGTTGAACCAGAGGGGCAGAGCCACTAACCCAGGGGTGTCCAACCTTGGCAACTTTAAGACTTGTGGACTTCAACTCCCAGAGTTCCTCAGCCAGCAAAGCTGGCTGAGGAACTCTGGGATTTGAAGTCCACAAGTCTTAAAGTTGCCAAGGTTGAACACCCCTGCACTAACCCTTTTTGAACCATTCCAGGAACAGTCCCCAATTACTTCAGATCTGCACTGACCTGAATCTCTGAAGATGTCACTTTCCAACTTAGCCAACGGTAGGACAGCAGGCCCAAGATGACCATTTTGAGAATTAAATTCCTGTGGGGGGGAAAGAAATAGAAGCATTGCCTAAGAAAAAGTTTACTTTCAGATCACAGGAATCATCATCGGGTATTCTCTCGCCCTGCTTCTCTTGCCTCCCTCCAGCTGACACCTGGAGCAAGGAAGGCCTCTTTTATCCTGCACTTGTGCAAGGAGGCAAAATGTGAACAGAACAAGAAGAAGGAAGCAGATTGACCCCCAAGTGCCTCCTCTTTTCTAGCTACACAGTACAAACAAAGGTACAAATGGCCCTTTCTATTACAAAATTATGTATGCCATGAATTAGCTCACTTCTGCCTCTTGTCCTATCACATGCTTCTGACTGGACTGCACAGATTGTTTTATGGGGAATGAAAAAGAAAGGCACCGAGGGCTGAGCTTTTCCTGGGTAATGCTGCTGGTGAAAATGGGTTTTTAATTCCCTTTTTATAAACGATTAATAATATTGCAACAATGGGATGCAGTTGAGCCCCGTCCACCCTGCATTTCAGCTGTGAGATTTTGTATTACCTGCTAATGGCAACGTACACCTTCAGGACTGGAGATTCCTGTTTCTCCCACGCAGCCAGGAAGTTGTACAAATATGGCATAAGCAAGTTAATGAGAGACACAACCAGAGGCAGGGCCAGGAGCAACAATTCTTTCCCAGCATGGCTGTTTTTCAAAAACTCTTCATGCAGAACCTGAGGAGGAAATCATTCACATGCATTTATATTCCACTTTTTCACTAGGAAACCAAGACAGCATAGAAAGAGTCCTCCCTGCTGCTATTATTCTTTATCTGCATCCCATCTTTATTATTTTTACAAATAACTCGAGGCAGCAAACATATGCAGCTCACCTTCTTCCTCCTATTTTCCCTACCACAACAACCCTGTGAGGTGAGTTGGGCTGAGAGAGATTGATTGATCCAAGATCACCTAGATAGCGTTCATGGCTAAGGTGGGACTTGAACTCACAATCTCTTGCTTTCTAGCCTGGTGTGTTAACCATTAGACCAAACTAGCTTCCCCACACCATACTGTAAGCCAATCGGGATAGGCTAAGGTGATTGGCTCTATGTCATGCAATGAGCTCCATGATTGAGCAGACTTTTGAGATATGGTTACCCTGGTCCATGTCCAACATCTTAATCAGTGCACTATGCTGCCTGGCTACTCGATTGCATTACATGCCCAAAGAATGCATGAAACCACCAGGAAAATGTCCACATTCAGTACAAATGGAACTGTCAATATGGAACATGGAGATTTCCCCTCAAATGGAACTTTTGCTCAAATCCCTATAGGGCCGTAATAAGTTAGCAGAGCATGTGCCATAATTCCATGATGACTGAAGAACTACTGATTATTTGATACAGTCATCTTAGAAAAGGAGCTTCTTTCACTGCAGTTGAGATGGCTGATGGTAGCTCAATGCTCTTGGCCCCAATTATGTTTCTGTTGAAACTAAGAGTTTAATTTCATTCGCAATAATTGTTATTTTATAGAAGCCAGGTATAACCACAGTGTGTTTGTTCTCTATAGTTACAACTCCCATCAGCCAAAGCAAGCATGAAATGTTGGCTGAGGACGATGGGAACAAGAAAACAATATGGCTGGAGAATGCAACGTCGGGAAAGATCACTCTATTACAACCCTGACCTATGCTCTATTACATGCATTTATTTTCTTCATTGATGTATAAATTACATTTTAATCTGTCCAATAATAGCTTTCCGACCATGAACATTGTTGTTAATTTTTTTTCTTCAGTTTAATTGTGTCTTATTTTCAGAGATTGCCTGGACAAACCTGTGCAGATTTTTGGGGATGGGGGGGGCGGCAAGATTTTGTGATAGGTGCTTATGGCAATATGTACTGTAAATGCATGAATTCAAGACTTACTGCTATTGGTATAAGTGTCCTGAGCAGTGGCATCTCCCAGGAAGGATAGAAACAGGCAAGACAGCATTTGCAGCTATGCAGCTGAATTCCTGCCCCTTTGTATGTTCCTGCTGCAACCGCCATCTTGCCTGTTTTGACTTGCCTTTCTCAGAGGCTGCAGAAAATGACCTCATTCTCATGAATCTCTCCCAGGAAGCAGGAGCAGGTATCTGATCAGGGAACCATATACCACATACCTTGTGTACGTATTCAGAAAAGTAGTATATACCAATGGCAGTGCCTGCAACAGTGCTCAGGGATACAGTCCAGGCCACCAGCAAGATTACGAGTTCCTGCAGTTTCTTAGAAAAGCTTAAACAGGATTCCAGCCTCTGCTCAGCCAGACACTCCTGAAAAAAAGAGAGAAGAAAAACAGGATGCATACACAGAGAGAGTGTGGGTGGGGGGGAGAGAGAGAGAAGGGGGGAGAGAGCTCAGTTTATGATTAAAAGGGATTAAGCACGTGACTCAATCATGAAAGTATAACAGTACAATTACGTCTTAAACATAAGAAGATTCTCAATGAATGAGAAGTCAGCACTGATTTTTCGTAAAGGAAACCTCTGGAGAGGGACTAGAGCTTCAAAAGTGAACTGTGGGCTTTAAGTGGGAATGTGTTGCAAACAAAAATAGGCAATTACAGGAAAAGACAAGCTTCAGGCGAATTATATTGAAACCTCTAGGGAATGTAACGTCTTACCTTGGAGGCAATCTACATTTCTCTATTAATGCTCAGTACTACCACTCTGAGAAGGCTTCGCCACTGAGTATGAATAAGCCAGGTTTCCTATTCTGCCCATGTCCTCTCTGTTGCTAAACAGACAGGGTGGGAAATTTTTGTTGTTGCTGTTGTTGGTATGAAGATCAAATTTCCACGCAGTATAATCTAGTCAGTGACATATCACTAGCAGTTGCACCCTTCTCCCCTACTCGACCTGCCAAGTAAGGGGCAGATAGCTTCTTGCCGAAGGACTGATCTGACTGCTTGCAGAGGCCAAAAGCTGCAAATTGCTCTCTCCGCCTACAGTTTCAGAATGAAGAGGCACACTGGTACATACAAGCCGCTCCGTTTTTCTCTTGTCCCCCCTGTAAAATGCACTAAGACTATTTATTACTTGCAGGTAGAATTCCTTTGTCCTCACTGTAGTTGAGACAGGGAATGTCATAGGTTCAGGGCAGTAGGTTTGATTCTTGTTCAGTAAAATGCCCTGTATTATGAAGGGCAATAAACATTTTTGGCACCACACAGGATGGTACTATCGCTAGCATGGTTGAGTTAGTTAGCCATAAAAGGAAGAAGAAAATAGCTCAAGCATCCAATTAGATTAGAACTTAACTTGAAACACTGTAAGCATTCAGCCAAAGGGTATAATGGGAAGTTTGGGATTACTCCCCTTCCTTTGCACACTAGGGCTGTAGCAACAGGCAGGATGGCAGCCTGAATTGATAGCTAACCTACTTGCAGAAACTTTGGTGAAAATGAAGATTTGGGTGTATTCAGCATTAAAAGACACTGCACCCTATCTTTCAAATGTACTCTCAAATAAATCTCTGATGTCTCATTTCTATTCTCTTGTTCCACTAACCCTAGAGATTTTATTTCCCAGTTAATTTAGTTCTTCCATTTTCACAGACTGCACAGCTCTGTTCAGCACTTACCTTCAGATGGGTGCGAATGTTCTCACTCTGGAGTTGGACTGAGCGTTTCTGAGTCACTTTGTAATCCCAGGAACAGAAGACTTTGACTGCCAGGTTACTTGATGCACTGCCTACACGGTAACTTTCCCCAAAGGAGTGAGACACGCTATGAGGAGGGGGGGGGAAAAGCCATCAGTATCTTGCTGGTTAGACAAGCATCAATTTTAAACTGTTCTCCAAGGAAGAGCCTTTGTGGTCACTCAAACATGGAATTAACTGTCTGGTGGAAAGACTGGCAGGGCTATAGGCAAATTTCACTGTATTTAATAGGCAGGTATGCCTGCGTAAGATTGTAGTAAGCTTCATATTATAAATTTGAGTAATTGCCTGAGGCAAGATTGCTAAGAACATTGGAAAAGCTATAATAGGAATATCGTTACCTATTCCTGTAACAGAAATGTTAAAGTATTTGATATCAATTTCTTGGGGGGGAAAATGGCATTTTGAAAATGATGAATATCAAGTTATTTAATTATTTAAACCCTCTTTTAAATGATCACATTAAGAAGTCTGAAATTGTTTTGAAGCAATCGACAATATTTATGTTCAAATAACGTATGTGTAAATTACACAAGATTTGCAAGTATAATCCTACGTTGTAGAAATAAGATCCCTCACAAATTCAGTGAGGCTAATTTCTGGGAAACCATTTCTTTTATTTTCTTAGTGGCGATCCCATGATTCCACTAAGCTGTCCCACAATCCTTTGCTCTTGGTCCAGATGGGCAGGGCTCTTGAAATACGAAAGTCTGGGTGAGCAGCAGAGCTTCCTCTCCCTGGTGCTGAGAATCACAGCCAAGAAAAATAAATATGGATAGGTAGGAGGAAACCACTTGGGGTAATGATGAAAGTCATGTTTATTTAAATCCTACCTGAAAGGGGTGCAAGTACACATTAAATGCATTTAGGAAGGCGAGTCTTATCCCAGGCAGAAAGGAAAGGATCAGCTGGGCTCTTAGGCAAAGGGAAGATAGTAGGCATCTCATCTCACCTGTAGATCAAGAGAAAGCAGATTCCAAAGAAGGCGCTTCCAGTAACAAAGAGGTAAGCCAAAGGCATATTGTAGGACATCTGGCTGTGCGTGTGTTGCCTGTAATGGGTGCTATTAGCCTCAGAAGCATCAGGGGCATTCAGTGTGAAATTACTGTAGTAACCATAATACATCAGAGTGTGACTGAAGTAGCCCTGTGAAGAAAATACATTATTGTCAATCCTTTGGATCCTTTGGAGGGTTATCCTTTCCTGAAGATGGCCCCGGCTGAAACCATACTGAAATATTTCACTCTTTATTAAAATCACAGCCACAGATTATTCATGGAAGTGGTCTTACAGAGATGCCAACATCACATAGAAGTAACTATACCCCTTGGGCTATTCCAAACACTTCAGGTAGTCCTCGAGTTACAAATGCACAGACAGGAGGTTATACAACTTGCCTTGTGGTGTAACCGGAACAATCTGGAACTGAACACACTCAAAACCGTAGAAATGGCGGTAGACTTTAGAAGAAACCCTCCCATTCTACCACCTCTTACAATACTAAACAACACAGTATCAACAGTAGAGACCTTCAAATTTCTAGGTTCTACTATATCACATGACCTAAAATGGACACCTAACATCAAAAACATCGTCAAAAAAGCACAACAAAGAATATTCTTTCTGCGCTAACTCAGGAAGTTCGAACTGCCCAAGGAGCTGCTGATACAGTTCTACAGAGGAATTATTAAGTCTATCATCTGCACCTCTATAACTGTCTGGTTTGGTTCTGCAACCCAACAGGACAGACACAGACTACAGAGGATAATTAGGACTGCAGAAGAAACAATTACTACCCACCTGCCTTCAATTGAGGACCTGTATACTGCACGAGTCAAAAAGAGGGCTGTGAAAATATTTACAGACCCCTCACATCCCGGACATAAATTGTTTCAACTCCTTCCCTCAAAACGACGCTATAGAGCACTGCATACCAGAACAACTAGACACAAGAACAGTTTTTTCCCAAAAGCCATCACTCTGCTAAACAAATAATTCCCTCAACACTGTTTGTTAGGGTTTTGGGGATTAACCCCTAGAAGAGTATTGCAGCAGTAG